GGACGGGTGGGGGCTGCGAATGACGTGCAGGGGCTGGAACTGAATCCAGACCTCCGTCATGGAAGACAATATGCCAGCGACCCGCCGCCGCCATTAGTGGCGCCAGGTGCGTTGCACCGCTACCTGATGAGGCCGGTTCTGGGCCGCCAGCTCGCCTCAGAGTGAAGGAAGGCGGCTAGGAGAGCACCTGCCCACAGGGAGGGGTGGCACCGAGGTCAGAAATCCAGGCTGGGAAGTTGATGCCCTGGGGTCCCGGATGAGGAGGGGGCACAGAGAGGAGGGGGGCTGTGATGTGTAGGAGACCAGCAGAGGTTGCCCATGCAGGGATGGCATGGGCAGGGCCCGAGAGTGGAAGGAGGGAGGGACGGCCAGCTGTGTGCTTCTCCGGCTCGGTGACCTCAGCGGGTCATGGGTCGTGTTGCCCGACACATGCAGGGCCCCTCCAGTCGATATTTGCAGGATAAGCAATGGAAGCCTGGGCCCCTCATTAAGACCTTCGCTGAGACAGGCTCTGCTGATGCATTAATTAATAGAACTAATGTCTCTCCTGCTTCCCTTTAAGACTCAGTCAGCTGGCATCCAATTCCCAGTGTGATGAAGTCCTGGTGTCTATCCTTCTAGAAGAAACAGCCAAGTCAATGTTGTGAGAAAAGGTTATGTGAGCTGCTGTATGGAAATGAGTTCACTCTGTAAATGTTCACCCAAATCACAATAAGAAAAAAGTTTTAAATGACAAAAAAAAAAAAAAAGAAAGAAGAAGAAGAAAAGAAACAGCCAAATGGTTGGGAATCACCCCTCGTGGCCCTTGTAGAGGAAGAAGAGCGCGCGCCAGGCATGCACAGCGGCCAGCAGCAGGGAAGTTGATGCAAAAATAAGAAAAGAAAATTTGGGTTGTTTTATTGCCAAAGTATATTTCCCACTCACACCCCAGCCCATCATCTGGGGCACCTTCTGCCTTAACACCCCACCCCCATCACCAGGGCCACCTTCACCCTCACACCACAGCCCATCACACCACCACGACAACCAATTTTTAACTTTTTATTTCATTGTCATAAAACTATACCAGCACATGCACAATCTCAGCAGTGTTCCCAGGCCCAGCCCAGTGCAGCCCAGTGGCCTTGGTTACGTTCTTTAAGTCACGCACGCACTCTCACTATCCTTTTCCAAATCATCCCACCGTCATTAACTTAAACTCAGTGGAGGGTCAACCCTTCTGACAGCCACTCCATCCACTCCAGACCTTCTGCTAAGCGCACACACTCACACACAACACTTACTAGAATATGCCCTCCTCTAGAGACTTCCTGCAGGTTGGTTCACAACATACTGTGGACACTATTCCCCACCTGCATCTGCTGTAATCTTAGAAACTGCATGACACTCCCTGATCACAAAGGTCCTATGACTGGCATAATCAATCTTTTGATGGGTGCTGCTCTTTTGATGGGTGCCTCCAAAAGTCAAACTCACTGCTGTCAAGTCAATTCTGACTCATAAAGGCCCTCACTGGGTTTCCAAGCCTGCGAATCTTTACCAAAGCAGACTGCTCAACCTTTGTTCCACGGAGCAGCTGGTGAGTTCGAACCACCGACCTTCTGGTTAGCAGCCAAATGCCTTAACTGCTACACCACCAGAGCTCCTTTTGATGGGTGCTTCATGTCTTCCCATTTGGCTGTTTCAAATATGACTGAGAGAGCATCCTTGTGGATACATGTTTGTGCATTTGTGCAGATATTTCTTTTTTTAATTTTTATTGTGATTTGTGTGAAAATTTACAGAGTAAATTCCTTTTCCATACAGAAGTTGATACATATTTTGTGTTATGACATTGACTGCAATTCCCCACAACAGCTCTCTTCCCACTTCCTCCCTGTAGTTACTTCTTCCATGTCCTTCCCTCCCACGTACTCCCACTCCCTGAGCTGTCTCTCTGTGCAAACACTCTCCTTCTGTTCTTCCCCAATTGACTGCTCCAAGGAGTGTATCCACTTGATGTAAATGTTCATCCCATGTGCCTGTCTATTGTTTGGCCAGAAGCCACAGGAGTGAGTTCAGTTCCAGACCTGAAGGATAACCAGGGGCCATAGCCTTGGGGGTTTCACCAGGCTCTATCAGACCAGTAAACCGAGTCTTTTTTTATGATTTTGAGTTTTGTTCCACATGTTCTCACACTCTATCCAGGATCTCCTGCACTGATCCCTTTTCAAGAAGTTGACAGTAGCAGCTGGGTACCATCTAGTTCTTCTGATCTCATGGGTCATATGGGCTGAGGATTGCATGATGTACCAGTTGCTTAGACTAATTTTTTTCATATGTCTTTGGTTTTCTTCATTCTTCTTTTCTCTGAATGAGGAGAGACCCATTATTGCATGTAGATGGCTACTTGCAAGCTTTTAAGATCCCAGTCACTACTCACCAAAGTAGGATTAGAACAGTGTTTTGTGTAGTATGTTATGTCATTTGAGCTTGATTCCCCTGCAACCATGGTTCCAAGCCCACAGATGCAACTACTCACTCCTTCCAGGTAGCTGGCTGTAGCCAAGAAGTGACTACAGCCTTGTCCCTTGTCAGCTCTACTATATACCTAGGAATTCTTACAGAACATACCAATACACTTGTAGAAACATTGTCTGCTAACCCTATTCATACATGGTCATCGGTACATTCCCCCCTGCTCAGACATACCTGATCATTCAGCCTGTCCACCCATCTATCCACCTGTAGATCAATGTTTGCCATCAATGACAACACAGTACTGTATGTGCAAAAGGGTTCATCTTTGTTGTCTGTACCTCCCATGTATCTCTCTATGTCTTCCTCTTCCTCAGGGTTACCAGGTTGATCATGCACTTTTGATACATTGCCCTTCCCTTCATCCAAATCAATACTCTCCTCTCCTATCTAGCATGTTCCTTCCCCTCCCCTTCCACCCCTTGTAACCAACAAAGAAAATTTCCTTCCGTATATAAACCTTTCCTTGACTTTTTACAATAATGGACTAATACAATATTTGCCCTTCTGTGATTGACTTATTTCACTCAGCATAATGTCCTCCAAGTTCATCCACATTATGTGGTGT